TGTTTTCGGTGGTTTTGGGAATTATTGAGAAGATGTGCATGTTGGACTATTTATTTAATTAATAGTATACTATATGAGAATATTAGTATTATTATTATTAAAATGAATATAAGGGAAATAAAGGTAAATTGGGCATTATGAAGAGTTAGTAAGGGTGTTATGGGAAAAACCCAATTTGTGAGGCCTAAGACTAAGTTGGACAAAATAGAATTTTGAAGAGATTTAGAATTCAATTGTTAACCGTGAAAAGAATGAGGCCAGAGCTCTGATGGAGGGAGAAGTGGAGACAAAAGCTTCGGAAGATTCCGAAGTTAATCGTGAAAGCTGCGAATCGACTAAGGTATGGGGAGTATGGCTTTTCATAATTTTCTATGTATGTCTTTAGATGTGTTTATGGTTGGTCTATGATTTAAGGTATTTTGGGTTGATTTGGGAAAATGAGGGAAAATGATGATAATACTCTGAGATTATGGCTAATGGTATGTATCACTGAATATTGATATGAGAAAGGAAACCTTAGGCCTTTGTAGCCAAAACCTTAGATCGTTATATGTCTGCCCATATGGGATAGAATATTTGATATTTGAAATTACGATGCCTTCGGAGCAATTGTAAGGAAATTGACGGTAGACCCTGGAGGTTAGTGGTTAGTATTCTTGACCCTTTGAGTGTAGATATGAGAAATAATGATTTTTTCCTTTGTGGCCAAAACCTTGGATTGTGATATGTTTGACCCTGTAGGAATAGGAATGTTCATATGTGAGTAACTCTGAAGTACTCAGAGTAATTGCAGGAAATAGTGTTTTAGGCGTTGCAAATGTTGCCGGATGAGCCTAATAAACCATAGAAGTTGTGTTATTATTGCTGTATAATCTTAGGAATGTTTTAGTGATGTTTTGGGTACGTTGAGTGAGTGATTCGTAAGAATAATTGAGTAAAAATCAGTTCCAGAGCGTAACAGCGTCTTTCTGTTCGTCACGACTGTTCATGCTTTTGGTCGAAATTATTTTGGACGTAACTTTTGATCCGTAAGTCCGTTTTGACCCCTGTTCGAAGCGTTGGAAAACTAATAAACAGAGCTATAACATAGTATAGATAAGGGAATTGTTTTCCCAATATTTTTATATCTAATTATTTTTTAGAAGACAATTGTGTATATGTTCTATTAATGAATCATGTTCTGGTTCAAGGATGTCTTGATGTTTTGATGCTGCGATTTTCCTGATGAATTACCATGAGTGTAACTGTGATAATATGATGAATTAACATGAGTAGAACCATGAAGTTTATGTGATTGATAGGAGATAGTGTGGGGATTACCGTGAGTATAACTTGATAAATTAATATGAGATGATATGAGGGTAGTACTATGAATTAATATGGGATAAAATGACTATGAGCTAATATGTGATTTATACGGAATTATATGATGACATGATGTGTGAGATTAATTAATATGATGGACTATGATGATATGTTGTATGATGAATAATATGATAAATTATGATGGTATGATGTATGATGATTAATATGATGAAATATGATGATATGTTGTATAATGATGATTACTGTGATGAGATATGATAACATGATGTATGAGGATGATTGTTACGATGAGCTATGATAACATGATGTACGATGATGATTGTTACGATGAGCTATGATGACATGATTTATGATGATGAATATGACGATGAGATATGGCGTGTAATGATGATGAATATGATGCACCATATGCTGTTATTATGAGGATTATTGTGAAGTGTGCATCATGCATTCATGTGCATCTGGACTTCGGTTCAGGACCTCGATTACTTTGACTTCAATCCCACTGTGTGGATGTGAAGTATTTTGATGTGCTCCGATCCTATTGATGGGGATCTATGGAGGGTTGATGGCCTAGTGTCCATCGAGCTGTGATGATTGGTACCACATGCATTGAGTCTATGTTGCATTTGCATTTATGAGTCTTTGTGTATAAATTATGATGTTGTGACCTTTGAGGCATATGTGAGTAATATGAATGTGTTGAATATGAATATGTTTCCGTTTATGCATTAATTGTCATACATTGGTTATTATGAATTGTTTTACTCACCCTGCCTGTTTGAATGTTACCTCCACGTGGATAACGTGCAGATGAGCAAGTTTAGTCGTGGACGCCGTCGAGGAGTATTGTGACATTTTAGAGTCGTTAGCCTTTATGGTTAATTTAGAGGGTCTTGCTCTGATATGTAACATCGGGTTGAGTTCTTTGAGTTGATTGTATATCATTGGGTTATTTTACTGGTGTTCCCTTATGTGGAAAATATTGAGTTATGTTTTGAGTTCCGCTGTATATGATGTTTTGATGTATTTTGAGAAAACCCGTGTGTTACGGAGTATTGACCAATTTTGTTGACTTTGAGAAATGTACGCCCTTTGTGGATTTTTAATGAAAGTTAATATTTTACTCTGAAATCCGTGTTATTTTGCCGTAATATCTGTGGGGTAGAATAAGGGTGTTACATCAACCAGGAAAAAGAGGTAACACCCCAATGCACACTGGCGGTGGTACTTAACCTACATATCATCACTGTCGGCATCCACAACCATCTGTAGGCGATCTTTATAAAGTTATTCCAAAAACTTAAATCTAAAATGAGTGCCTCTAGTGTCAGCTACCTCATTTGTTGCATCAGTTGGGTTAACTCCCAAATATGTAACCAACATCTCGATGACTTCCTCTCGACCGATCCTTTTGTGGTACAACAATTTTCCCCTTATGGAAAGATGCAGAAGGTATGATACGTCATCTAGGAACAAGATGTAACACCTCAATGCACACTGGCGGTGGTACTTAACCTACATATCATCACTGTCGGCATCCACAACCATCTGTAGGTGATCTTTATAAAGTTATTCCAAAAATTTAAATCTAAAATGAGTGCCTCTTGTGTCAGCTACCTCATTTGTTGCATCAGTTGGGTTAACTCCCAAATATGTAACCAACATCTCGATGACTTCCTCTCGACCGATCCTTTTGTGGTACAACAATTTTCCCCTTATGGAAAGATGCAAGAGGTATGATACGTCATCCAGGGTGATGGTCATCTCTCTAATAGGAAGGTGGCAAGATGATATCTCTTAATGTCATCTCTCTGCAAATGTCGCATGCATGTCATGGTTTATGGTAGTGTACACGATATCGCATAAACCACCAACCCCAGAGTAACGAATAACATGTTTTAACCAGTCATCATCAGATTATTCCCAATCCAAAATTTTTCTTCTATGGTTTACGGATTTTAAGTATGGACGCTATTGTAAAAAAATATCACCATCAATCACAATTTAGTTTAAAACAGATGTAATGCAAAAGTAAATAAATATACCTCTACTTCTCAGACATGCCTATCAGCAAGGTCTCCATATAAGTAAGGAGGTGTATAAAGAGCTTCCTGGATAACTATCTCAGGGGCATCTACATAAGTAGTAGATTCCTCTTGATTGACCTTAGGCTTTTAAGGCTTTCGAGCGTCTTCACGGGCTTCATAAGCAGATGCTTGGATGCAAGAGACTACGAGAAGTAAAACCAGAAGGTTGTGAACCTCAACCTTGTGAACCATCAAACGAGGTGATATCAACTCGTGGCCCTGCCTCTGGCCCACTCACGTTGCACAAATGCGTTTTGATACACACGATCAAGCCTAAGTATGTCCTGGTTGTTTCCAACGATTACACTTGTAGTAAAATTAAAAAAATCACATCAAAATGCAACCAAAATGTAGTCAGGTCAATTCCAGAGATACATCTTCGAAAATAGTACAGAAAAAACCCCACTAATTCCCTAAACTCCAACTAAATGAGAATACATGTCTATATTAGCCAACCATTTAGGAATGTGCTACTATCTAATGGATCCTAATAGGTCTATGTCATCTAAAGCATCATCCAAAATTAAAAAAAAACAAAACAAAAAAAAAATTACCAAATTAGAGTTGTGGATGAGAAGCTTGAATACAATGAATGACTATGCAACAAATGAAATAGAATGGAGTGAGTGAACTTGAAGAATTTTGTAGAATCTTGATCAAATACGAATTGTAAATGACTTTGTATCAAAATAACTCAAATGCAATTTTTTAGTGTTTGTAAAAAATAGAGGAAGAGGGAAGGATATGAAGCAAGTATATGAAACAAACGCGTCCAAAGACGTATATCTAAAAACATCATTGAAATTTCAATTAAGAATTTTTACAAAAATACATCTCCAAACTAAATTTTAATAAAAGATAGATATCTTGGCAATTTGAATAAACAAATAAATAAAAAGGGTGCATTCGAAAATGTGTCTGTGAAATCTAAAGGCAATTGTGACTTTTACGTTGATGAAAAAACACACCTTAAAATAAAAGTAATTTCGCCTTTTTTTTTTATTTTTTTATTTTAGGAGTATCCAAAATAAGACTTTACTCGTTCCATCCCACAATAAAGGACATATTTGATTATTTCAAATTGCATAAATAAAATAATAATAATAATAAAAGTAATAATAGTAATAATAATAATAATAATATTGAATTTAAAAATAAATATAAATTTGAATCAACTATTTTACAATAGGTAGGGCCATCCCTATTTTAGTCAGGCGAACATGTTAGGTAATGGGAACTCAGATTCATTTTTGAATAATCAAATTGTCATACGCATTATGAGCCATTTACTCAGTTGGACGAACATAACATGTAACCGTAATTCTTCCAAAAACCAATTTAGGAAAACCAAAAGGTAAGGGAAATGAAGTTGTTTTTTTCATGAAAGAAATATCTAGATGGCATTCGAAGCCTAAAAGTGTATTAAAGAGTCTATAGCTACAGAGTAGTAGATACTATAGTCATTTGCAAATCACTAAAATTCAACTTTATAATTATAGAAGGCCAAAATACTATCAAGCACAGAATAATAAAACTCTACAAGCCGAAAAACGGGGCCCTCCACTGTCCAAAAGAACCACTTAATTACAAAGGAAAAGCGTATCCACGCAGGTACCTGGAGTCCACACCCGACTCGCGGGCCAGTGCTATACGCCCAGTTCGTGCCACCTGAAAAAAAAAAAAACACCATTGAAGGACAGGATAGGAAGTTAAGAGCAATTGTCCACATGTGCTACTCTGGCAGGCGCAGCACCGAACTGTTGATCCAATCGGGTTTGGTTGTTTAGACTCGCTAAGGATTGTTGATGTAATATAGTTGGCGCAAACACAAAATGTCTTTTCTTTTGTCAATTAAAGGGTCAAAATTTTAATACATCATGTCGCAATTGTTCTCAAGGGTATTAAAACCTGAACCTCCGAGATGAAGGCATATACATGAAAGCAAACAAAATATAGCATGGATGGTGAAGCACAATTTTATGGACGACATTCTTCTACAGTAAACAAGAAGTGTATTAATTCTTAATTTAATTCAAAGTGTATCCTGATTCAGGCTTACTTGTTATGGTGACAAATTCATTTAGAGAAGCTTTAATTACACATTGTTTTCACATTAATTTTACTGTTTCCTATAAACAATTGAGAAAAGAGATGACTGTTTGGTAATAAAAAATGGCTCTCAAAGTAAATGGCCCTTTGTTCTCCCTTTCTTTTCCTTACCAAAACCCTCCAACCAAACATAAATGGCCCTTATTCTCTCTTTCTTTTCCTTACCAAAACCCTCCATCCAAACAAATCCTAAGTAAACCATTTTAGAGGAACTAACAAATACAAAAAGGAAGTATTTGCATCCAGTGTGACACTGGAACTATATGGAATAAATTTTGTTTTACGGGACATGGAAATAGAGTAAACAGTCGCAACAAAATATCTATCAGATATGTGAGAAAGATTAATAAAACAGACCTCACAAATGCCATATGGTTCTAACAATCTTTGCAATGCAACCATCTTGTCCAGATCTCCAGTAAGCTGACATAGGAGCATATTACTTAGTTCCAGAAACAATGTAAAAATATTAATGGATCCGTGGATCCAAAGTCAGACTTATAATTTCATCTATATTTATTGCAGAAGTATGAAATGCTTTGATGCAAACAACTAACAAGAATATCCTAACCATATTAAGTAAAAATAAATGAAAAAATCCTGTCAAGAAATTTGCACAAATATCGCATCATCGGTTATTTACCTCTGTATAAGCTTTTCCAAAGAAAAACATCATGTTATTGCCCCAATTTTATCATTAATATTCATATTAAAGAAGGATAATATAATGAGTTATAAAGATGAGGTACAGTAACCTGTCAGATGAGTACCTACTTAAACCTAAAAGTATATCGGTTGAGATGAGAAAGTTAACAATTCTATTACTAAAGGCTTATCACCGCAATTAAGAAAACAGGTGGGGAATGCTGCAGACAATGGACATAAATGGACTTTAAACATGCAAGAGAGCTGGATAGTTAGCTGAGAGGGTTATGTTATTGGGTCACCTCTATTTGTCCACGCTCTAGATTTCAGTGAGGACTGTCGAGATTCCGTATCAACTAGAGACATAGCAAAATTATTCCTTGTAAGACTAGGGCAATCTTCACCCATTGAGCTAGTTTTTGGGCTTGAGTTAGGCCTAAAGTCCTAATTTAAATGGTACCACAGCCTATCCTAGATATGTCATTGGGTCAAGATCTTTGTCATTCCACCTGCATTTGCCCATACTCCAAATGACCATTACAGGGCGTGGGTGTGTGCTTAGATCCATGTTATTCCAACTACATTTGTCTGCATCTAGCCATCTAATACTAGGCATGAGGAGGCGTTAAGATCTTACACCGAATAGAGATACAACTTAAGTAGTGAGTGCTTAGGCTTCGACAATACTCACCTAATAATCCAATTTTGTGGGGTTGAGTTACACCTGACATAAGCCCATATTCTAATATGGTTCTAAAGTCTATCATAAATCTGTTAATGGGCTACTTGTATGTGTCCATTGAGAGTCTTAGGTGTGAGGGATATTTTTAGATCTTATATCGACTAGATACTTAGCCAAGACTTGGACAATCCTATTCAATAAACCTAGGACTGTGTCTGCGCGTGTGCATCACTTTGTTGAAAAAGCTATATGGACTTTACCTCGAGGGTTATAGTATGATCGGATACATCAACAGCTCTAGCCCTGAAAATGCTGGCAATATCAAGAACATCACGTCGTGCGGCAGCATTTACAGCAATCTTTATTAGCATCAATTCTCTCTCAGCAAAAGGCAAGTGGGTTATATCTTGGACCTGGAAAAGTATCAGTTTGGATACATAAGTATAAAATGGCCAGTTTTTCTTTTTTTAAATTAAAAAAAGGTCAAATGTTATTACACTATATGCATGAATGAAGTTCTCAATGATAAAGTACAAAAGCAAGACAAAAATGTATTCCTCAAGAAGATATTTTATAGCTTCTTGCGTTGATGTTCCTGAATAAGATTAATCATGAAGGCCGGCGCACTAAAAAACTAGTCAGTATCATTAGTAAGAGGAGGCAATATATGTTTTAAATTTCTCTTATTAGAAAGACCGCTCAAATATTGAAGTGTGAGTCGCAACTTCAAAAATGTATTCCTCAAGAAGATATTTTATAGCTTCTTGCGTTGATGTTCCTGAATAAGATTAATCATGAAGGCCGGCGCACTAAAAAACTAGTCAGTATCATTAGTAAGAGGAGGCAATATATGTTTTAAATTTCTCTTATTAGAAAGACCGCTCAAATATTGAAGTGTGAGTCGCAACTCATCAATTTTGTTACTAAGGGTTACCAAATCCTAATAAAGGCTTCCAACATAAATGTCCTGTTGTGGTCAGGTGGATAAACAGAGAAGAAACAAAGAAATTAATGTAGTTTGACCTAGAGAGTATGCTATAGACCTATGTCCATGGGCGTCAACAAAGAGAAAAGTCACAATCAATGGAGGTTACAGGGATTAACTATTCCACACTCAAATTCTAGACACAATTCACCTAAATGAATCCTCACTGTCACTGAGAACTAATTACTGAATTTATAATATAATAGAATCGTGCCCCAGGCAATGACAGAACAGGGATCAGTCAATTCGTCATCCTGTTTCCCCATAAATCTAAACCTAATTCACCTAAAAGAATCCTCACTGTCACTGAGAACTAACTACTGACTTTAGAATATAAAAGGATCGCGCCCCAGGCAATGACAGGACAGGGCTCAGTCAATTCGTCATCCTGTTTCCCCATAAATCTCCTTGAAAAAGCTTAGTTGGTTCATGTTTGTAGACTTCTCTTATTGATAACTTGTGTTCGGGATGATTCCCATATGTTCATTTCTGTGCCTACCATGACAATGGTGCAGATTGGCACTTAAAATGCTAGAGAACTCTGCAAGCAGTAATACTAGAAAGCTTAAGAACTAAAAGCAACCAGCTTTTTTTTTTGCAAAAATAAAAGCAAACAGTTTATTTCTTGGGCATGGTGCATTTGTTTTGGTAGAGATATTGAACCTTGTGCAGATCCACTAACTTATAAAGTTGCTGGACCAACTTGCTGATTGACTCATCTGTACCAGGAACCACAGTTGTAAGCCGAGAAATTCCTTCAACTTCCGAGTGTCCTACAGCTAAACTCTGTAAATAAAAGAGAGCACATTCGAGCAACCGAAAGATCGGAGAAATTAAAATGGTGAGACTTGTGTTTATACAAACATCATAGTGAAAAACAGCAGTCAAGAAGCAAACCTGAATGTTATAACCCCTTCTAGCAAAGACCCCTGTAACAATGTTCAGAACTCCGGGAGCATCGTTCACAAGCATGGATAAAGTGTGTGATCTAATTCCGCTAGTCTGAAGGCATTATCCCAACAATTAGAAAATTTCATGCAAATCAATGAAAATTATATGCTCGTGTGCGAGCACCAGCTAGTTTTTTAGCTCTTTTGACAAGCATAAACTTTTCTAATTAGCATTAAAACTTTACAAGTGTCTGGTGAAAAGATTTGTCAAGTCATTTTCATAAAATATTCACACAAATTGGTCCCGGTCCTTTTATTATGTGATTTTCAGAAAACCAAAATCCTGTTATTGTTAACTCAACTTGAGTAAATTTAAATAGAAGAAAATAATCACAAAGAATCATGAATTGCAGTGCTTCTCTAACAATAAGTAGAAATTGCCCAAAGCAAAACCTTGCAAGTGAAAAACTTAGAACTGTGTTGAAACACACTTTATTTATAGCATGCAGTGAGAACATCCAAAATAATGCTTACTTCACATGACACGATTTCACAAAAATAATTAATATTTGGTGGCTTGAGCCTCTGTCTGAGTAAGAGTGATGACCCAAACACGCGTGAACCCTCCTCCATATGAGTAAAAATTGAATATGAGCCAAACTCACTTTTAACCAATTTTCAAATGCTAACCCAAACAGACACCTTACCAGAATAACTTTCCTAAGCTATGAGAAGTTCAATCAGAAAGGGAAAAGAAACAGAATGAATAAACTAGTATTTCTAAATCTCTAAGAAGAGCATCAGACACAGGTTTTATCTTATCCTCTCGTAAGAATACAATTATATGAAACCTTGATACCACATGAGACATATTCAACCCGTTGTTAGCTAATTAATCTTATTTTAAGTATTTTTAATAGCTAGAAATAATGTGAAGTGTTCTGAAACTGCAAACTTCACCTCAAAATGACAAACTACGAGCATAGTGCACAAGACTCCTGTCATGGTAAATAATACTACTAACTATACAACTTGGCAAATAATTTCAACTACATGACCAAAAAAATTAAATATAGAAATGTCATTTGTATTTAATAAAGGAACTCTACACTCTAAAAAGGGAGCATCAAATAAAAGAACACTAGCAAGAACCTGCAAATAAGGATTACAATGCATTACAAGAAAACATAAAAAGGGGACATTCAAGAACACTATAAGACTTCAAACCACTTACATCTTCATCATGGAGAAAACCCCATTGAGCGTCAAGTACTTGATTGACTGTAAAACTGTCTGAAGGCTCTATAGGATAAACATCTCCCTTCACACAAGCAAACATTTCAAAAGAAACGATAGGTTAGAGACTAGATCGGAATATACTATTTGCTAAGGACCCAATAAATCAAGTATATAAGGGACAGAAAATATTGAACATGTTGATAATGAAATTCATTCAAGTCACTATTAGCATCATTCTGTGAAATAGTTAAAAAATTGTTTGTCTTCTAGTTGGTCATATTAGTTTTAACACACTAAAAAATTTGAACAGTTGATTGAGCATAGACAATAAAAATTCAACAAGAATATACTTTGTTGCTCGAGTGACCTAGAATACAACACTGAATTTCTACCATGGCCTGACAAGTGGCAAGAATCAAATAACTGCTTTGAAATCTGGTACTAAAGGGAAGCTGGAGACGAAGAATGGAAAGCAATATATGGATAAAGAACAAAATTAAAAACCACACACAATTCACAGTCGATATGAGTGAGATCTAAAGGACAGCAAAAAATATTCTCATAAATAAGAGAAAAAAGACAACAAAAACTACCAAAAAAAATGAGAATGCAGAAAGGCTGGGCAGCCAGCAAAGGTTCATGTTAGAAATCAGAGTTTTATTTCATAAAAAGCTTATGGAAAATGGTTGCAATCATAAAGGCAAAATTGTTGTTACTTAGATGCACAAAAGAACTGCATAAACTGCAGACTACCATAAAACTTCAGCCTAAGTATGATCAATTAAATTATCAAATACTATTCTAAAATAGAAGGGATAAATGATGATCAATTATAAGGATCATTAGCTAAAATGTCAACATGAGGTCTACATAAGTGTTGAAACTTGAAACTATTGTTCAAAACCCGCCTAGTATAATAATTTTACTTTGCAGAACTAAGCTTGTTCGGGATTTTAAAACCTAACATTTTTAATAGGATTTCTTTTTTAAGTAAAAATGCATTTCAAATTTGAAGTGTTTCAAAATATAGGTGAAAATAAGGAAATGGTAGGATTATAGAGTATGTAAGATCATACCCCCACAGGCATATCAGTTTTGCCAACAGGATTCACACTTTTCTTTCCAACAAGGGCATTAATGGCTGTTTTTCCTTCAAGATCTGGATACGAAGCAGCTGAATACCGCCAAAATGGGGCAGATGCACCCATTTTTTCCCTTCTTAATGCAATCTAAAAATAGTTAATTCATTAGATCATAACAGTTTAGTAAAATTTGCAGTCTTACAAATAATAGTACAATGAATGAGAAAGTGGACAACATAAAAGAGCTATGGAATTTCATAGGTACTCAATTGAGCTTTCGAACCTTTCCAGTTCTAGCTATTTCTTTAATTCCAAATTTGCTAAAACTTCTTTGAACTGCAACCATCTTCCCTGGGTCTCCAGTAACCTGTAACATACACCACAGAATGACTCACCTGAAATTACCATGTTATTGTACCACCGAATTGCAAAATGGTAATGGTGATGTCTAGATAACTTTTAGAAAGGAAAATATGAAACTAAACACATGAGTAAATATGGTTGAAAATATCCCACTCATATCAGCACATTTTTTATTGCCAGTGTAATTTGACGACAAACAAAATCATATTCATATTCATATAAAGAATGAAAGACAAGAAATCAACAAAAGAATATTGTAATAACAGCCAGTCAGCAACAATACAGTCATACTCCTACCAGTATCTTAATGAAACAATTTTTATATATACGATGAAAGGATGACTACACTAACATGTAGTATCTTCCCAAAGATAAGTCATTCACAACGCACTGTACCACATTGTAGTAATGCAATCTATTCCTCCACTGTGAGTAATTACCTTGACAAACAAACAACAATGATAAGTGTGCCTATTTATTAAAAAATAAATGATTGGGAAGCCAACGGCCAATGAACAATCATAACCACAAAAGTAAAGACCCAGCAGCTAGAATCCAGAACTTTGATGATGGCAACATAATGACTTTGGATCCTATTCATATATACCTAAATTAAATGTGCTATTAAAAGGACACAAACATAGTTAGGCTCAAAAAACAGAACATTATACAGATATTAGGATCTAAAATAGAAAACAATCACAACTTATATCAACACACAACTTACTGTCATAAACTAATAGAAATCAACAAAATCAAATATGTTTTGGCAAAAAGACAGGTAAAAGAGGTTGATGAATATGATAGTCGTTGATCATGGAAGCCGTTACTAAGACATGATAACTAATGACTAAATAAAACACGTCCAAATATGACCAGCAGTTACCTCAGCCGTCACGGAATCTTCCGAGATGTCCACAATCTTAGCTCTGAAGGTGTCCACTAACCACTTAATCTGTGAATTCCCAGCAACAAAAAAAAAATCAAATAAATAGATAAAGAGAAGCAAACAATGAAATAATAGACATGTCAAAATCCCAGCAAACAAGAACAACATATGCAAGCAGCACCCAGAAATAAGAAAGCAGGTACCTCAGCACGGTATTGGGGATCTGCATGCACTTTTAAGAGCATCAATTCACGTTCTACCTGAGGTTCATTGGAAAGATCGTCTACCTAGTTCAAGAAAACAAAACAAGCATAAACCCTCATATTACTAAAAAAAATAATATTATAATCACATGCAAACACAAATAAGTATATCACATAAAGATGAAAGAGAAACCTTCAAAACATTGACAAGCTTCTGAAGCTGCTCAACAACTTGGCGAAGAACGTCATCAGTTCCAGAAACAACAATGGAGAAAAGAGCCCTATCTTGATTAAGACCAACAGCAAGTGACTCAATGTTGAATCCTCTTCTGGCGAAAACTCCAGCAATTCGGTTAATCATTCCACTCTCATCACCTACGAACACCGAAATCGTGTGTCGCCGAACTCTGCATTACAATTCATTCATCGTGCGTTATAATTAATAAATCAGAACACTAATCGAATAACTCGCTATCGTAAAAAAACATTGAGTACAAGACTTACTTTGATCGAGAAGGAGAAGGAGGAAGACCGTTGGCGGAAACGGTTGTGCCACCGGAAGTAGCGGCGGAGAGTACGAGTTTGTTGCGGTGGGAGGTGGATGTTGAAATGGAAGGTGAGAAGAAGAGAGTGGTTGAGTTTTGCTGACGTGGAAATGGAGAATGGGAGAATTTGAAGATTTGAATTGGAGTTAGTGTGGCGGCCATGGTGATGAATGATGCAGAGAAGAGAAGCGAGTTCAAGTTGAAGTGAGAAAACACTTGTGCTGTGGCTGCGCTTTCTTCTGCTACTACTAGTTTTTTAAAATTTATATTTTATTTTAAAAGTACATACTGTATTTAAATTGCCTTGGTAAAAGATACTGACACTTCGCCAACTGGATTGGTATAAAAAAATAAAAGAAGCTTTATAACTTGACAAGATTTTGGACGAAAAAAAAAAACTCACTTTAAGACAAAATTAATATTAATATGAAATTTATTATTTACAATTTTTTTCTATAAACTAATTCGACTCATCCTAATTTTTTTTAATAAGCTAAAGTGGTCTATATTTTCTCAGTTCTTAATTATAAACTATCATGAGTTTTTATTTTTTTTATATAAAACACTCTTCACATTTTTTAAAATATATTAATTATTTTTTCATATATATCTTTGATTATATAATAAAAAACTAATAAAAAGAGATGGAGAGTTAAAATCTTCAAGTTAGCCACTGCAGAAACTATATATGAATTGTGGAGAAGTAGAAATAATAAGGTGTTCAATAACAAGACATGATCCCATGTTAGTAGATAATATTATGCATAATATTTGAACTTGTAACTAGAGTGTTTGGTAGGAATTAGTAATTCCTTGTAATTTGTTTGATCAATGATATTAATGCTTTATTTTAAAAAAATTATGAAATTATAAAAACAATAAATTTTTCTTTGTTAATAAAGATATTTATATTAATAATAGATTTTTTTCGTTAATAAAACTATTTTGTATCAATAATAAATTTTTTCTAGTTTATAAAAATATTTATATTAAAAATATATTTTTTGCCTATAAATATATATATATATATATATATATATATATATATATATATATATATATATATATATATATATATATATTCAATAATAAATTTTTTCTCTTTATAAAAATATTTGTATCAATAATAGAGTTTTCTCATTTATAAAATATTTGTATCAACAATAAAAGAAAAAATTTATAAAAATATTTGTAACAATACACTTTCTCTTTTTAGAAAAATATTTATATCAACAATGAATTCTTTTATCTGCAAAAATATTTGTATCAATAATACTTTTTTTATTTGTAAAAACATTTGAATCAATAATACATTTTTTTTGCTTATAAAAATATTTGTATCAACAATACACTATTCTTTGTTTATAAAAATATTTGTATCAACAAATATTAAAATTATATTTTCTCATTCACTAAAAAATTACTTAATTAAAATAATAAGTAATTAAAATATTTAAATTTGACAATGTATAATGAAAAAATAAATAATGTCAATATTCACCATTTATGTGGCATATTTCAATAAAAATAAATAAGTTTTAAAATTGAATATACCGTTTACAATTCTAAAAAAATTAGATAGGTTAGAGATATATAGAATCGGGACGTTATTTAAGTTTATAGTACGTTTAAATATAGTAACTAGTACATTAGCGTTATAAAAATAATTTAATTAAAAAAATGAAATAAATAATTTAAAGATACTTATTCCATCAATATAACTTCACTTAAAAAAAAAAAAAGCTAAAACTCAAGACAACATTAATTATGATAAATAATAAAAGAATAAAATTATTAAGTGGTTATAATGCACCATGCAACTTTCCTTAATAAATTGGTAGAAGATTTATTTTAGTAATAAGTCTATGCACAAAGGCCATAAGCATAACGTATGGAATTTAATTTATATACAATTAAAAATCATAAAGTGATTTAGTTTGCAATTTAATAATAACGATTTAATTCAATAATAAAATGTTATAAAGTGTAATTCGTCTCCTAATAATATTGTAAACATTTCAGTTATCAAAACCAATATAATAGTTAATATTTTTTAATTATAATTTATTGAATAACTATTGTTTATTTAAATTTAAAATTTAGAGATAGTTTTCAAATCATTGTCTCATAATAATGTTGTGAAAGTTTCGGGCATCAAATATTGTCTATTTATTGTATAATTTTTTTTATGGGAAGTGATGTATTACTATTTTCTATAAAAAAAATTATATTAAAATCTCAAATAAATAATTATACACATTCATTTAATCAATTCTTTTTAATCAAAAAAAATTTAATATAATTCATTAATCAAAACATATTCAATATAAAGAGGAATCCAGTTAAATCTACTACACCTAGACAAGAATTAGCCGCCTTAAAAAAAAAATGGACAACCAAATTGGTTTGGCATTTTACAAATTTCACCTCATAATTATTAAAATCATGTGACAAAGCTTTAATTGAAGAAATAATAAAGCAAAACTCGAAACTACCGCCATGATCGGAATGAACGGCATGGACGACTCTTTGGGAGTCACACTCAAAAATAAGATTTTCTAAGTGCAAATCAATTGTTCCAAGAATTGTCTCCTTAAGGACCATGGCGTCAGGTTCAATCACGAAACAAGAATCGGGATCTCAAGCCACCCGCACACTAATAAAAAACCCACCATTATCACGTACACACCACCCTCTATTAGTAGTACCTGGTTAAAATATGCATCCACGTTGCATTTCAACCATCCCTCCATAGGTGGATTCCAAGACAAAGGATAATGGTGGGCATTATCAGTCTCATGAACTTGTTGGGCCAGAAACCACTCTCGCAACTTGTAAAAGGCTAACCAACCAAGCTTAGGGGCTTCTACATGCTCATTGAGTCAAATAAGATCATTTATATTCTTCCAAATCTCATTCAGCATAATTGCAAATCTGCCAAAATTGTTTCTATCCTCCTTACTACATATATCAAATATAAGAGACTTAGCATCAGTAAAAGAATATAAACGAGCATCTATAATAGAGGACAAACCTGCTGCCCTCCAACACTGTTAATCTCGGTACACCCAGAAAATAAATGCCAATCATCTTCAATTATTCTCATAGAGCTGACAAATAGACGGACAAGGAACATAATAATATCGAAATCTTACACGAGTTGGTAGACAACCTTTACAAATTCTCCAGAAAAGATGCTTGACTCTAGGTAGAGCTTTTATATTCCAAAGGCTACATCAATCCCCATCCCCTCGGCCATTCTCATGACTCCTATGTGTTAGAACACAGATTGGTTCTTAATAATATCTCTATGTTTTGATGATAACTATTATGAAATTTTGTATTTAAGAATTATATACTCTAAAATTTGCTTGAGAGTTTTTACTGCAGATAGTAAAGAAATTAATACTCCAGAAGCAAATCAGAATTGAACTCAAGAAATTAACTAGACTCTGTAGCGCCAGATGCATACATTAGAAGATTCTGATTGCTGCCAACAGAAGATTCTGAGCGTAGTCTCCAGAAGATTCTGAAGCAGAAGCTCCAGAAGGATCTGAAGCAGAAGCTCCAGAAGAATCTGAAGCAAGTCAGAAGCATCTGAAGTAAAGAAGAATTTTGTATGAAGAGATTTTCAAAGCATAGTTTCTACAGAAGATTCTGAAAGTACTAAAGCTGTCAGTACTGAAGTTTTGTCTCAAATATGCTCTGATATCAAACACGCTGAAAGCACACCTGCTGCAGAAGACTCTGATCATCATTAGAAGACTCTGACCCAATCAGACTCTGATGAACTTGCTGAAAACTGAAGAAGAAATATTCAAAGATTATATCCGTTGGAGTAAATCAAACGTCTCTTTCCTTATTTATGCTAGACACAAGAACACAGACAAAAAGGATTTTTCTGTGCTTTCTTCTTCTAGGAAAGGTCACTTGATGTAAAGACAAAAAGGCTCAGACCTTTTGGACACTCTTCTCAACGTGCAGCTCACCTTGGATCAGCTGCCTATAAAAGCAAGACTCCACCAAATTCTTCAGTTGACGTTTTGTTGAAAAGAAATCAAAAGTATTCAAGCTCACATACTTTCATATTCTTTCTAAGAATTTATTTCATTGTACTTAAACTTAAGAGAAATATCACAGTTGTGATAAAAGCTTTTTAGAAGCATTCTTACTCTTGTAATAGTTTTACATTGATTGTAAAAGATTTCCTTAAGAGGATTCAGTTGGAATCAGTAGCTCTTGAGAAGACTAAGAACAGTTGTTCTTAGGTGTTACTATTGTAATTTGTTTGATTAAATAGTGGATTAAGTCCTTGTTTGAGAAAGACAAATCACTCTAGGAAGGGTGGACTGGAGTAGTTGAGTTCAATGAACCAGGATAAAAATACTTGAGTTTCTATTCTAAGTTTTAATCTTTCATACTTACTCAACCCCCCTTCTAAGTATTATCTCACCTTCAGTTGGCATCAGAGCTCCGGTTCTGTGTGTGCTACCACCTAACTGTGACAGTAAAGATCCAGAGAGAAATACTTTGATATATATTTGGTTGTTACTATGGCTGATAATACAATATCCAACATTAACAACAAATATGAAGAAAGGGACAAAATCAGCACCAAACCCCTATGTTTGATGGGGAGAAATTTGATTATTGGAAAGACAGAATTGAAAGTTTTTTCCTTGGATATGATGCTAATTTATGGGATCTAGTCATAGTTGGATATGTTCATCCCACAGATGGGAATGGCAAGAAGATAAACAGAAAATCTATGACAGATGCTCAGAATAAAGATTTTAGAAATCATCACAAGGCCAGAACAATATTGTTAAATGCAATATCTCATACTGAGTATGAAAAAATTACAAACAGGGAAACTGCATTTGACATGTTTGAATCCTTAAAGATGACTCATGAGGGAAACTCTCAAGTCAAGGAAACAAAGGCTCTGGCTCTGATCCAGAAGTATGAAGCCTTCAAGATGGAAGACTCTGAATCTGTTGAAGCTATGTTCTCCAGATTTCAGATCCTCACAGCTGGTCTAAAGGTTCTGGACAAGGGATACTCCACATCAGATCATGTAAAGAAAATCATCAGAAGTCTACCTACCAGATGGAGACCTATGGTGACAGCGCTGAAGATGGCTAAAGATCTGAGCAAGATCT